GTGCCTGTAGTCCCAGCTACTTAGGAGGCTGAGCAACAGAATCACTTGAACCCAAGAGTTTGAGGTTGCTGTGAGCTATGATGCCACAGCACTCTCCCCAGGCAACTAAGTGAGATCCTGTCTCCAAAATAAAAATAAAAATAAATAAATACATACATTATATATAAACCTTCTGTATGTTCTGAAGGTATATATAATTTTTTAGGACACGTATTTTAAATAGTCTCCTCTGTGCCCTCACACACTTTCTCAAACTGCCTGTGAGGCCTTGATGGAATCTTTGCGTCATGTAATCATAACATTACTTACTAAAAGAGAGCTAAGATATTAATGGCTGCTCATCTCGGCCTACCTGTCATTCTTAAGCACACAGGGAGCTCCATGCTAAAAGGAACTGCTTGCAATTACCTGGAATAACTCACTCTGTCTCGTGCAGAGGGAAAGGGGAGGGCAGAAGCCTGGGAAAGAGGGTATACACCTGTCAAAACAGCAACCCCTTATAATTTCCCATTGTAGCTTCAAAGAAAAGAGAACAGGAGGGAACTACTCAGCACTACGATAAGAGATTCATTTACTGGCAAGCTGGGAAAATACTTCTGGTCCTTGAAAATCGTTATTTTGAAAAGCAATTTATACAGAGGTTTAATTTACTCCTGAAAGAAAATTAAAGAAGAAAAAGAAACAGCAGCACTTAAAATAGCCATGGAACCCATTCCAATGCTGGTTTCATCAACAGAACCAGTAAAGCAAGATTACATTCTAACATACCTGAAAACAACATTCTAAGATTCTTAAAAAAAAAAAAAAAAACAGAAGCCCACACATTCATCAAGCTTAACACAACACAGGAAAATATTTTTCAATGATAAGATCAAAGGTTGGCATCACAGCAATAAACAAAGTAACAGCCACATCCTCCCTTCTTTGCTTCGCCAGGACAGTAGCAAAGGTTCACTGAAAGCTACACATGCAAAGTCTGTTTTAAAGACCCACCTGTCGTGCTGTCCAAAGAAACGGGCGTCAACCTGCCCATCTTTATCCCTCAGAGCTTTTGCAGGCCAGAATGGAAACCCCTTCAGTTTTGCCCAGACCAAGGGATGTGGATTGCTCTAGGAAAAGAGAAACAAAATACATATTTGACAGCAAGGTACTCATGTAAGCTTGGTGTGTGAGGATGAAGCAGGTTTGAGGGATACAGGCCCCAAAAGGGAAGAGAAGCGTGTTGGGCAGGGTCTGCCCACGTGGTATTCCCGAGAAGGTGTGTGGCCACGATTCCTGGACAACACTGGGAATGGGCTTACGTGGTGAAATTGAGAAGAACCGAATTACAACAAAGTGAAAAACCAGGCTTGAACCCCAGCTGTGCTACTCCCTGGGTGGCCAAGAGCAAGAGATCTAACGTTCCTATGCAGCACACACACAGACAACACCTGTACCCTCTGTGAGCCAGGATTAAGTGTGCACCAGGCCCAGCATACAACGAGGGACCACATTAGCTACCTTTATTCTTTATCAAAGGCTACAGCGAGACTCAGCTGCTCAGGCGTTAATCTCCAAAAGATAGGAGGAAATGTAAAATAGGTTTTTTCAACTTGACTTGCCCTATCTTGCCCTCCTCCAAGCCCCCTGAGACTCTAGTCTCTCCCTCAAAACACACCAGCCCACTCCAGTGACGTATTCCTCTGGTTTGGTAAATACAGATCCATGCGAGACACTAGGGTGACTTTCTTCCCCATAAAAACCATTATTTGGAGAGAATGTGGACTTAATCGAGGAAAGTATTTCCAAATCTCTTAATAGAGACCCAGCACGACTTGCAAATGATAACGCGCTCTAAGTCCTGTCACACTGCCTACCTTGCTCTGGCCCATCCCACGTCTCTCACCAGCTTCCTTCACTCTACCCTGACTAATAAACCCAGCAAACCATGGCTCCACCTCTGCTCACAAACGTTCAGTCTAAGGGGTTTATCCCACCTGGATTATTTTCACTCTGCCATAACTTCATCAGCAAAAAATTATTTTAGACCAGGTGCGGTGGCTCATGCCTGCAATCCTAAGTGCTTTGGAAGACCCAGATGGGAGGACCACGTGAAGACAGGAGTTCAGGGCTCGGCGCCTATAGCTCAACCGGCTAAGGCGCCAGCCACGTACACCTAAGGTGGCGGGTTCGAATCCCCAGCCCGGACCCGCCAAACAACAATGACGGCTGCAACCAAAAAATAGCCGGGCGTTGTGGCGGGCGCCTGTGGTCCCAGCTACTTGGGAGGCGGAGGCAGGAGACTCGCTTGAGCCCAGGAGTTGGAGGTTGCTGTGAGCTGTAATGCCACGGCACGCTACCCAGGGGGAGAGCTTGAGGCTCTGTCTCAAAAAAAAAAAAAAAAAAAGACAGGAGTTCAGGAACAAGAGCAGGAACAAGACCCTGTCTCTACAAAAAATGAGTAAAATCACTGGGTGTGGTGGTAATACACGCCTGTGGTCCCAGATTCAGGAGACTTAGGCAGGAGGATCTCTTAAGGCCATGAGTTTGAGGTTATAGTGAGCTATCATGACATCACTATACTCTAACCCAGGCAAGAAAGACCCTGTCTCAAAAAAAAAAAAAAAAAGAAAGAAAGAAAAAAGAAAAGAAAGAAAATTGTTTTGTTAAACTTCACCCAAAGTTTCATCTGATAAGCCACTGAAGAAAGCTGTCTCTGGATAGCCATCAAAAGCACAGGGTTCAGTAAACAAAATAAGCAAAGTGAATCCAACTTACACAAGGCTCACAAAACCAGTTATCTCGTTTTTGGCAAGCAGCTAGATAACATTCTGGACATACTTCGATTTCATTCATCTGTAAAGCAAAAAATACATTAGGATGTGTCACCCCAGGGGTCTTACATCTGGCAGCCCTCAATAAATGCCTGATGATTCTGAATGATGAGATTAAACGAAGCCCCACGGCAGGAATCCGTGGGAGATGAATCCAACGGCCTCTCACCATTCCCAACACTCCCACCCAGTCCAAGCCACATCCTTCTCACTGTAGCGATACGAAAGCTGGCTCCCATGTACCCCGGCTCCAACTCTTGCCCTATGGCCCTTCCCCATGCACCAGCCAGAGCCGTCTTCTACAAACATGAATTTGACCTTGTCCTTCCAGTGACTTGCCCTTCCACCAGAAGTTCTCTATCAGGGCTGTCTGTCCCTTCCACATGTTCCTGTGGGAACATGTCTGGAGACATTTCCGGTTATCACAATCAGGCAGGAGGGCACTGCCAGAACCTATGATGTACAGAACAGACTCCACAACAAAGAATTCTCTGACCCCAAATGTCATTAGTGCCAAGTTGGGTAACAATAAAATGTAAACACCTGATCAGTTCCTTCCAAGCCAAGTATGACCAGGCCTCGGCTCACCCTTCTCAGCTCATCTCATACCAGCTCTGCTCCCCGAGCCCTTCACACCACTCTCGCCTCCTCTGCATGCCATGACCAATTTCTGTGCACCTCTAACCATACTGACCAGAGCAGTTAATACCACACTGTCCTATTTTATTTCTACTGACAACCTGAAAATTCATTTAACTTATTGTCCTTTTCCCTTTTTTTTGAGACAAGAGTCTCACTATGTCGCCCTTAGTAGAGAGCTGTGGTGTCATAGCTCACAGCAACCTCAAACTGTTGGGATCAAAAGATCCTCTTGCCTCACCCTCCCCAGAAGCTAGGACTACAGGTGCCTGCCACAACGCCTGGCTATCTTTTTTTAGAGATGGGGTCTCATGCTTGCTCAGGCTGGTCTCGAACTCGTGAGCTCAGGTGATCCACCTGCGTCAGCCTGCGAAAGTGCTAGGATTCCAGGCCTGAGGCACCATGCCTGGCTTGTCCTTTTCTTTCTTAAGAAAGTACTTCCTCCCGTAGAGTAACACCATGGCTTAGAACCAAAGGCCTTGGAAGCTTCCTTTTTGGATCTAAATTCAGACTCTACTATTTACAAGTTCTATGACTTTAGGAGAAGCTACAAATCTCTGAGTCTCTATTTCTTCATCTATAGCAGTAAAGGGATGATAGCAGAGCCCACCATATAGGGTTGTTATAAAAATTAAATGAGGGCAAGGCATGCTGGCTCACGCCTGTAATCCTAGCACTTTGAGAGGCTAAGGTGGGAAGATCCCTTGAGCTCAGGAGTTGAAGACATCCATCTCTACTAAAAATACAAAATTTAGCTGGGTGTTGTGGTAGGCTCCAGTAGTCCCAGCTACTGGGGAGGCTTAGGCAGGAGGATCGCTTGAACCCAAGAGTTTGAGGTTGCTGTGAAGGGGGCTGATGCCACTGTACTCTAGCCCAGAGTGAGACTCTGTCTCAATGAATAAATCAATGAGATAAAGTGCTTCAAGGGACACAGTCATCAAGATATCAGAGTTAACATTTATTGAAGATTTAGAGTGTGCTGGTCATCATTCTAAGTGTTCTATAGGGATTAAGTCACGTACTCCTCTGTGAGGCAAGGCTGTCATTTATCCCCATTTTACAAAGGTAGAAAATGAGGCCCCAAGAAGCTGAGTAACCTGCCCAAGGCCTTATAGCAGCAAAATGGAAGAGTCAGGATTTGAACCCAGGGAGTGGGGCTCCAAAGCCCACGCATGTCACTGTACTGATATTGCTATTATCTCCCATCACCATCAGCCTTCTTCTCTTTACCACCTGTCATCACACAAGGTGCCTATCGACAGCAGGTGTTCAGTAATCACAAGACGACCCACTGACTTATTGGCCAATGACTAAATAACTGAATGAATGAAGGGTGAAATGCATCTCCTTCCAGCCCAGTCCATTTCTGGGCTATTCCAAAGGAACCTACCCCAAACAGTCTCCATCACCACTTGTCATCAAAGAAATATAAACTAAGGCTCGGCGCCTATAGCTCAACCGGCTAAGGCGCCAGCCACGTACACCAAAGGTGGTGGGTTGGAATCCCCAGCCCGGACCCGCCAAAACAACAATGATGGCTGCAACCAAAAAATAGCCAGGCG